CTGGACTGGGTTGGGATGTTTTCTCGATGTTCAATTCCTCTTGTATATAAACCTTTCCCTTATATACATATGCGTGTTTATGAATTTGTTTCTCTAGTCCACCTGGACTCGTGATACAAGGGATTATACATCACCACCAAGAAATGACACAGAACCTGAAAATGGTTCTTCCAGTTCACATGATGACTATCCCTCCAGAGGCTGTAGTGATTGAGATTGCTGTGATGATGGGGACTGTTCAGAACATCCGAAGTAGAAGTTCCCACAGAGATTCCAATGAGAGCTGGTAACTCACGCAGCAGTCACCTACACACAAGCACTGCCATCTGATGGTGGAAGCAAATGCTGTCATGATTTCAGCAGCTCACAGGAGGGATGTGGTGGAGTCAAGACAGTTACTCAAGCAGCTGAAGTTAACTCAAGTGGTTGCGATTGAGTTGGTAGGCCAAAAAGAGGGCATCCCCCCTTCTATGGAGAGGAGTGGTGGTGGAGGGATGCATTCTGATAGAGGGGGAAGCAGAAGCAGATACTAAAAACAAACAAAACCTCGGACCAAAATCCCTGTTCAAAGAAAAAATAAAATGAAACTATTCAGTCATAATTCCCAAGGACTATTCATGAAAAAACATGTTGCTTAAAAAAAAATGTGTCCTGTTTTAAGGTCTCCCTCATAATTTTTCTGTTCTTGTGAGGAAAAAGTAAAAGCTGTTTAATGTTATTTGATTGTATGGCATTGTTTTCAGCAAGCAAATGTTAAAGGTGTTAAGGCTTGACTTATGTGCTCGTGTTGTAATTCTCTCAAGTGTCCCTGAGGGCCACTTCCTATTGGGTTCTTCCAGTAAGTGAAGCAAGCCAACAATACTAAGCTCCTCCACAAACATCTAGCCGTTTAACATGGAGAGAGGACTCATTCTGCCTATATAAGTGAGCTAGCTATTAGAAGGGTGGTTGTTGCCACTCTTTCAGATTTCAGAGGGTCTTCCAGGTGGAATCTAAAAGTGTTCTTGGGGTGAAGAATCTAATGCTTACAATAAGGAAAGTGCTGTTCACGCAGTAAGCCCAAAACAAAAGGACAATGCTGGCCAATCTGTTGCCTTTCTGACATTTCCTTGGGAATCTGCAAGAGCCTCCCATTCCTCCCCACCCTCATTTTAAGACCATTTAAAGTGTGTGTCAAAGAACTACAGAATACTAAATAAAAAGTTGGCCAAAACAACAACAAGAAAGATTTACAGATGCAGCCACCCTAAGGAGCAGTTCTATTCTGCCTGTACAGGGCTGCTATGAGTCCAAATGGGCTTGATGGCAGTGCACTGCTTGATTCTGACCCTATATAACACAGGGAAACTGCTCCATTGGCTTTCCCAAACTGCAGCCTTTACAGAATCACATTGCCAATTGTTTTCCTTCCAACTCATGGTGGCAGAGAGCATGGGACACATGGGCAGAGAAGAGACGTTTAGAACTAGAATTCATAAGACTCCGTGGTTAATTGAATATCGAGAAGGGAAGAAAGAGGTGATGGCCAGATTTTGGTCTGAAGCATCTGGTCTGATGGTGAGATTGACTGACAGTGGGGACCAGTGAGCACCCATGAGGGTGGAGGAAGAAGGTAGAGAGATGCTCCTGGGCCTTCCTACTGGAGTGACGTGCCCAGTGAGCAGATGGATGGAGAAAGCTGAAGTGGAAGTGGAGGTCTCGTGAGGCTTTGGCAACTAGAATTGGGGGTATGTACGGTTTCCTGGAAGGAGCCCTGGTGATGTAGTGGGTTATGATAACTGAAAGGTAGAACCCACAAGCTGCATGCTAGGAGAAAGATTTACAACCTTGAAAAAAGAGTTTCAGACACAGGGCCAGTGAGTTTGATTTTTGGAAACTTTCCTGGGTACCATCTTTAGAGTCAGTGGTTTCGAAGAGATCCCTGGGAAACAGGACAGAGAGAAGATGGGCTTGCAATGGAGATGGGAACTGGGGAGAAGGACACCTGGAGGGCACAGATGCTTCATGGAAGCAGGAGTCTGCCACCGTGAAATGCTGCTGAGAAGTCAAACAGGAAGAGTGGTGTTTAGCAACACGATCCTTGGCAGAGGAGGTTACACTGGCGAGGTCTGAGCAGAAGTCAAACCACAGTGTGTTGAGGGCTAAGTAAGAGGTGAAGAAGTGGTGACAACTAATACAGGTCACTTCTGGAAGGCTGGTGCAGAGGCTCCACCAGTGTATAACCTTCTAGAATCAAGCAGTGTCAACTGTTTGGAATGTGTAACAAAAGTTATACCTGTTGTCATTGAGCCAACTCCAACTGGGTGGCTCTACAGGGCAGAGTAGAAGAGCCCTATCGAATTCCAAGGCAGTGAGCTTCACAGAAGCAGACTCCTGCTCCGTCCTCTGGCAGAGCTCCACATGGGCTCAAACCACCAGCCTTTGGGTTGGCAACTGAGCAGTTTAACCACTGCATCACTAGAGAGCCTTAAGAAAAGCCTTCATTAAAAAAAAGAAAGAAAAGAAAAGAAAAGCCTTCATAATACAACTACTAGGGTAGAAATAATCTATGTTCAAGTAGGGAAACTTTATGTTCTAAGATAACCATATTAGATTATAAAAGAAAGCAAAATAAGAAATACGAGAATAGGAAATTATATTTCATGTTTTAAACATAAAACAAAAATTCTTCATAAGCAATATCCTGATAAATGAGAAAAGATTGATGTCGTCAAGGACTTCATTTTACTTGGATCCACTCAGTGCCCATGAAAGCAGTCAGTGCGTTGGGCACGTGGGCTGCCAGCCACAGGGTCAGTGGGTTGAAGCCACCAGCAGCTTCTCAGGAGAAGGAATTGCTGGTGGTTTCTACTCCTGTAAAGAGTTACCGTCTCAAACTCACAGGGGCAGTTCTCTGCTGAGCGTCTGAATCTGCTCAACGGCAGTGAGCTTGTTTTGGGTTTGGACATGGTATTTTCAATGGCCTCATATCATGTGAAAGCTGGGTGATAAATAAGGAAGAGTGAAGAAGAAACGATACGCTTAAATTAAGATGTTGGCAAAGAGTATTAAACATGCTGTGGACTGCCAGAAAGTGGGCAAATCTGGAATAAGTGCAGCTA